CGTGGCGCGGTGCGGGCGCCCCGGCCCCGCCCCTGCCGGTGCCGCCGCCAGCGGCCTGTGGTAAACAGGGGGCGCGGCGCATGCGCAGTGTGCGGGGAGCGGGGAGCAGCGGGACGTGCCGCCTTTAAGAGCAAACAAATACATAAATAAGTACGTGAATAAATAAATAACAGTGCGTAGCGAGAGGGCTCTCAACGGCAAATGAACAGCAAGTAACGCTGCGCCGCGGGGGCCCGGTGCGTTTTGRCATCAGGCTGAACAAATGCTTCGGAGAACAAAGCAGAGGGCGAAGGGAAAAAAGACAAAAAGGGCCCAGCCCGCACCTAGTGTTTTACTCCCAAGGGAGGAAATTCCCTCCTGGAAGGCCCCTGTTAAAGCACGTGCAGCTCGCTATTTATCKTGCCCTGCTTCGCCATGAACTTGTGGGTTGTGCCAAGAAACGAAGTAGTCCCTTTAATTTGTTTCCCTAAACACAAATATTAAGGAAATAGGAGGTTCTATTTCCTTAAGCCCTTGCTATCGTTTCTCACTACATAGGCCAAGAAGAGGCTTCTAAGGGAAATTTCAAGTCTCCAGCATAAATTTAAATAAACACAGTCAGCATAAAGTTGCTTTTGGTTGCGCTCCAGCACTCGGCTTTTATCTGAAGGACATTTGATAGCTCTGGGTAAGGGCAGCCTCCTTTCGGGCTCCAACTAGGACGGGACAGATCCTTGAGGATGTGGGGTCTCAAAATCCACCCGCTGCCTCTCCTGGGAGCGCTGCGAGGAGAGCGGGAAGTGGGTATGGAAGAAAGGCCATTCCCAAGTCTCCTCAAGACACAGCTAGCAGCAGGGAGACATGGCCAAAATAATGGACCGTGTAGAAATTTCACGAAATTACCTGTACCCCATGTACTACCAGAGCACTGTCAAGCCAGAATTTGGGATTTCCTGGGGGACTCGTGTCAAAAAGAGCTAGATTCGGAGCTGCAGAGGAGACAACCACGTACCACGCGTGCTTCCTAAGCACATCACAACACAGCAACAAAACCCCAGGCATGGGTGGCCGTTGGAGCCCGATGAGAAGGAGCTAGCTGGCAGTGACTGCCTGTAGTATTAGGAACCAACACTGCGCTGCGTGTGCTCACGTTGGAGCTCGCACAGCTTGCGGGTCCTGACTGTGAGCACTGAACACCACAGGTTGGCTCGGGTCCCACCTCAGGGCCCTCACTGAGCAACATCTGTGGAAACAAACCCAGGTGATGTCCAGCCTGCTGCCCTTTCTCTAATTCATYACCCGTTAGCACTCCTGAACCACACAGTTTACAACGTTCTTTTCAACAATAATYCTGATATTTTTGTTCTTACCTAATAATAATAATAATGCTCACATATGCAATGTCGATCTTGCATTTTTCAACTTCCTAGTCCATGATTTTACATAACAGTGTTTGTGATTGACAAGTAAAACATATCCTACCTCAAAAGCGCTGTCATTCAAATGGAGTTTTAAAACGCGACCCTTTTGGTTTTAAAGAAAACAGAAAAATTAATTAATCAGACAATGAAACTTCGTATGTTAATTTTAGATATCTAAAAG